AAAGGAAACTGATCTCAGATAGACAAGATTGACCTTTTTATTCAGAAAGTCAGAATCTACCTACACAGATAAAGCAGTTCACAAACCATGAAACACCAAAACAAAAATAAAATCCTGTGTTTGTGTCAACCACATGAAATTGGCAGTCTTTGACAACTGCCAATATGGCGATTCCTGTGCTTCAACCTAACAGTACCCGGGTGGACACCGGAAATTCAAACAAAGGCTCTGAACAAGACATAGGTGCACCCCAATCTACTCAGCATGCTGGCTACTGGTTACAAATTTGTTTCATGAACGTGTACCTTTTAAGTGGTACAAAGGAATTCTGTTCAGGGAAGACTTGCGGGTGACCCCTTTTCTAAATTAGAAACATAATACTTTATCATTCAGTTTTTAATAGGTGCTCGCTCAGCTAACCTTCGTGAGGTAGTTGAGCCCACTCACGCATACTCATAGCCAAAAACCAGAAAAATATTCTCATGCAAACAGGTGAGACAAGAATAAACCCCCTGAGTTGGAGCAAGAGGAAAAACAGAAGCTGTTAAGTCAGCATAAATTCCCTACGCTTTCAACTTCGAAGAATTCTGGGACTCCGTTTCTGAACCTGGAAACTCTGTAGCGAGGCTATGACGCTGAGGAGGAGCTACCCCCACTCCGGGTTCTTTGATCAGAAGGCAGACATCAGAAACTCAGCCACCAGCTGCTGGGACAGGTGTCTGCGATCCTGAGCCATTACCAGCCAGACAGGTAACGAGAAAAGCACCTGGACAAGACCATCTTACCCAGGGCTTCCTCCAGTGTGAAGCCCAGACCAACAGCAGCAGCATCGCCCGGGAACTTGGCAGAGATGAGAAGTGAGGCTCCTCCCCACACCTCCCGAATCAGAAACTCTGGGGGCGGGGCGGCGAGCAGAGCTGTAACCAGATTATTCTGATGTTTGCTAAGGTTTGACCCCCGGGGACATGAGTCAGGTGAGTAGTTTTCCAGCTGTGTCCACGGGAGTCCTCCAGGTCCACAGAAACTGCTCTGTGTGGATTCCTGGCTGTGGGTCCCAGATGGAACCAGACTGCCCGTTTCGCTGTTTAATAAACGGTGGTACGGCTGGAACGGTTCATTTGAAAATTAATTCTGCTGCTTTAAAAAAAAAAATTGGAAATACTGAACAGATGGGAGTACAAGTGGTCACAAGCAATCTAGTCATCTGTAGAATGTTCTCGAAGGTCTGGGATCAGCTTTCGTGCCACCCAGGGACGCCAAAAGCAAAATGGAAGCTCAACCACTTAAAGCAGGTTCAGGGGCTCTCCCTGAGGAGGGAGCAGGTTTTGATGTCCTCCAGGGCTTTGACAAAAAAGGGGTAGTCAAAATCCCTGTCTTTGTTTGAGAACTGCCTCAGAAACGGGGGTGCCTTCTCCCTTCTTTCCTATTCAGAAAATACATATTCTTAAAAGGGAAGGATACACACAACAGCAGAGCTAAGCGGGTGGCAGGGAGAGAGGGTGGAAGACGCCTGCTGTTTTTCTCTCAGGTGGCTTCGAGCCAATGCTCCAGCCCCAGTTGTTTTTCTGTTTTTCGATAATTTTTTAGAAACATATTTTTAAAATATTAATTTCAACTTATTTTTTTAATTTAAAGTACCAACCCTGCTTCGGTGAAGAGGCAAACCTCTAGGGAGGGCTGTGACGGTTTGTTTCCACTCCCTGCCTCGCCATCTCACCCTGTCCCTTCTCTGAACAGGAAATGGAGGGGGAGCCTTGGGTGGGGCTGGGGTATGAATGTTAGTGTCCCCCAAATTCACAAGGTGGAATTATAACCCCCGAGGTGATAGTATTAGGAGGTGGGGCCTTTGGGAGGTGACTAGGGCATGAGGGTGGAGCCCTCCTGAATGGGATTAGTGCCCTTATAAGAGATTGCTGGGGAGCCCCTCCTGCCGTGTGAGGGTACCCTGGCACCGTGATCCCAGACTTCACAACTGTAGAACTGTGAGCAACAAATTTCTGCTGTTTATAAGCCACTCAGTCTGTGAGCACACATGGGCTAAGACAGGTGAGATGGGGAAAAGGGCCTCTCTGAAGTGCGCAAGGACACCACTGCACCCCCACAATGCCCTTCTCAGCTACGCCGACAGGCTGGCAAGGGTAAGTACAGCTGATTTTCGTTCTTCGCAGTAGTTCTATAAAGACACCACAGACACGGAATTAGTGAGTACCCAAGCCATTGCAACTAGGAGAAATACAGGGTTAGATTCCTGCCAGCCTCTGGTCACCATGTTTCTGTCACCCAATCAATACGTAACATTGTTTTATGCATGTTTCTGTTGAAAGACACCTTATATAATACAGTCATCTGTCCTTATCCACAGGGGGCCAAGACCCCCAGTGGATGCCTGAAATCGTGATAGTACCGATCCCTATATACACAGGTGCTTTGCTTTTTCCTATGCATACATACACTTGACCGCTTCTCTGTGGCACGTGCGTGCAATTGTCAGCATCGCTCCTCTTGTGCTTTGGGGCCATTGTTAAGTACAACAAGGGTCACTTGAACACAAGCATTGCCATACCACAATGGTCGATCTGATAACAGAGACGGTTACTAAGTGACTAATGGGCAGGACAGTAAACAGAGTGAGGATGCTGGACAGGATGATTCACATCCCAGGCAATTTAAAACTTATGAATTGTTTATTTCCAGAATTTTCCATTGAATATTTTCAGACCGCCATTGGCTGCAGGTAGCTGAAACCGTGGAAAGCGAAACCAAGGATGAGGGAGGGCTGCTGTACGTATTGTTGATTCATTAACATCGAAGTCAGGGCCCACGTCACTTATTCACGCCTAAACGACGCTTATCTAACCCAGCATTTTCCCCACGGGGCACACGGCCGCCTTCTTGCACTAGACAGCACTTCAGCATTATGGTTGGGGGCCATTTAAAACAGCAAAATCATCAACAAAACTCACACAATTACCAAAAAAAAAAATGGGGCACTAAATAAATACCTGGAAAGGACTTGTGTACAGAGAGCTGCAATGAAAAGACAGGGCGTCACCTTGCTCCACCTCAGCTGGGAGCACACACGTCAGGTGACTCAAATTTTCTGCTGTTCGGAGTGACCACAAAGGAGCCACAAGGTCTGACATTGGGCTTTCAAATACACCTTAGGCAATTTCACAAGCATGGCATCTGTGTGGAATGAGGACAGACTGTGTTTTGTGGAGGCGGTTGGCGACCAAAGCCAGGCCAATCCCTGCACCTCCTATCGGCACGGCCTCTTTTCCACCAATTTCCAGAAAAGACATGACAGCTCTGGATAGTTGTTCATGAACACGGGCAAGGCACCAAAATCACTCAGTGGGCATAGAGATCTACCAGAAAGCCGGCCAAGTTCTCAGCGCTGATAAAATCTGTACGTAGCCACCGGTTCCTCCCTGCACCGTGTGATCACACTTGGTCATGGTCAAGGTGACACAACTTCTTTACGCAATGTCTTCCTTGGTCTTGAGAGGGCCAGTGACGTAGGCGGGACCCCATGGTGCGGTGGAATGAGGACACCTGGCTCTACCCTCAGCCATGGCAGAGGTCAGAACACAGGCTGGGCAGCTGCCCGGACCTGCTGCAGTCCCCAGCTCTGCCACTCACTAGCTGCGTGTCCCCAAGCATGTTAATGTCCCTGGGACTGGATATGCTCACTTGTCAGATGGCCGCCATAACAGAACCCCCTACCTGCTAGGGGTGCCAAGAAGATTTACAGAGAGACACTCAGCCCGATGCCTGGCGCACAGGAAGTGCCCTCGGCAGGGACTCTAAGAACAGGCATCACTGGCCTCCTGCCAGCCCGGGACATGTCATTTAAAACACAGTCTCGGGTCTGGGAGGGGACTTTACAAGCACCAGTAACGCTCCCTACTGGTTCTCCTGAGAGCCATCCAGCCAAGTCATCCTGTGTCCTCTGCTCAAAGAGCCCCCTTTGCCCTTCTGTGTCCCTAGGCCGGAAAACCCGAGAGGAGACGGATTAAAGACAGACAATTTCTGGGTATCTGTGAAGGGCAGTGACACAGTGGGGGATGGGTGGCTGCAGGCGCTCAGAGAGAGGCTCCCCTCTCCGCCCTGGGAGAAGGCTTCCTGAGGAGGGACGCTGGCCTGGGAGCTCTCGGAGGGAAGGAATGCGTCTGTCCTAGTCACCATGCTTTCCCCAGTGCCATGCGATATCTGGCACAAGGCAGCTGTTCACTGACATAAATAAGAATTAAAGTGTGTGTGTGAGTAGATGGATGGATGGATGGATGTGTGTGTGTGTGTGTGTGTGTGTGTGTGTGTGTAGGTATCTGAGTCCTGAGGCTGACTTGGAACAAGCCTGATTTAAATAAAGGGCCGAGTTTCCAAGTTTGCATGGAGAGGGAGAGGTAAAACCTAAGTCGGGGCTACGCACGATGTACACGGGGAACCATGATCAATAGGGGGTGGCTGGGGCGTGAGGTACAGGGTGAGTGAGGGCAGACCGGCAGGAGGGGAAGCAGAAGACGCCACCCCCTCTCCCCGCAAGGCCTATTTGCCAAGCAAAGGCACAAGGACCTGGCCCCTTTCCCCGCTGCGCTGCTGGCTCGCCTTTTCTCTGACCATCACCCAAGACAAAGACAACAAGCAGCTAACCAGCTTGTGTCACAGGAGGCCAGGAGGCAGCCACCTAAGTCATTCCCTGAAAAGGTATAAACTATACACTCTCTCTCCTGGAGGAATTCTATTGTAAACCGGGGCTCCTAAAGACCACAGGGAACAAACCTCTAAAATGGCCTTTTTAGGGGGGGTTTCTTGGTATCTCCTCAGATCATTCCTAAGGCCCCAAGGAGACGCCCAGCCCTTTGCAGGAGAGGCATGCAGACCTTGTTGGGGGCAGGACTGGGGGGGGGGTGACAATTAGAGGGGAATGGAGTGAGCAGGTGTTCAGGGATTGAGTCCTGGGGTCCCGCCACCAGCCCCAGGCCCAGCCCCCACCCTACCTCTGCGCTGTCAGATCCCTGGAGACCTGGCTGGTGACATCACCGTGGTGGGAAGGGGCAGCTAAGAGTGGGTTTTCCAGGTCTTCAAGGGCAGCTGGCTGAGCGACATCATCTGCTACAGGTGAACTAGGGAGGGGAGAAAAAAAAAAACAAAGCTCAGAAATGTTCTTTAAAGTTTTAAGCGTGTTTTAACAGCACGTTTTTTTTCTGGAACGTAAGCAGGGCCTCAGTTTCCCTTTCTATAAAGGAAGCGTCTGGCGCTGCTCCATGTGTGGTCCGCGGATGGTACTGGTCCAGGAGGGTTTGTTACCACTCCATGATGACACTGCACAGAAACCTGAGTTAGAGTTCAGAAAGCTTTAGAGCAATTTGGTAGAGTGCTTTTATGTCTGTTGAATCTAGTAATAAAAGTCAGGGCTGGTGTTTCGTAGGTCTTGATCAGTGGTTCTCCACCAAGGGTGGTTTTTGCCTCAGGGGACATTTGGCAATGTCTGGAGACAGTTTTGGTGGTTACCACTGGAGGAGAAGGATGCTACTGGGTTGTAGCAGGTGCAGGCCGGGGATGCTGCCAAACATCCTACCAGACGCAGGACAGCACCACGACAAAGAATCATCCGGCCCAAAATGTCAACAGTGCCAAGGCCGAGAAATCCTGGCCTGAGTTTATTTCATTTTCTAGTAATCCTCCAAAGTTAACTGTATTTTCCAAAGTTTTGATCTACAGTAAGTTAGAAATAAAAAACAACAGTGGTCCTTCATTGACTGGGAAGGTCTGCACTAGATAACCTCCAAAACAGGCTGCCTTTGAAAGTCTAGAGAGACACAGGTCACTAGACACTGTCACTGTCACACACATCAGCTCACTCTGCAGGAGGCCCCTTTCACAATCGGCTACATCATCTCACTAGCTCATCCTGGAGGTCCATGAGTTTCATTCTTTCTGATGAACTTGGCTCTGTAGCAATGAGTAATGGGACGGTTATACATATTCATCTTTTGAGCAGATAGTCACTGAATACCAGCTCTGTGTTGTGACCAAGAAAGAGGTGGTTCCCGGCCTCATGGAGCGTACAGTCATAGACAAGACTCCGACATTTTTAAAAATGCATGTTTGCTTAGTAACAACTGTAGTTACCGCTCGGAAGGAAAGGTACAGGTGGCTATGAGAGCATGAACTAGGAGGTCCTGGCCCAGAGTGGGGTCAGGAAAAACTCCCCTGTGGGGTGGTAAGCGGAGGCCAGCTGGCCAGCTCAGTGTAGCAAATGTTTCCTGAACTGACGCTGTGCCAGGAACTGCTAGTCGGCACGCTCACAGATACCACCATATTTGATCCTCACAACAACTCTGTGAGGTGGGGGACTATCATTATCCCAATTTTACAGATGTGGAAAGTAAGACACAGAGAGGCTGAGTAACTCGTCCAAAGTTGCACAGCTGGTAAGAGGCAGAACCAAGACACAAACCCAAGCGTTACTCCAGGAGCCATGTTCTTAACCACCACACTGGGCTAAGTCTCAGAGGTTGAAGAATAAGGAAAAGGGAGAGTGCCCTCTGGCACAGGGAGGCAAATGTCTGAAAGCCCTGGCTCAGGAAGGGGTTTGGCATTCTGGAAAAACGCAAAAAGGTCACTTTGGCTAGACTGCACAAAAAGAAGACTATGGAGGGGAGAGGTGGATAGGAGCCAGATCACAAGGTCAGGTCGAAGTACTGCGGCTTGGTTGTTAATTGAAAAATCAGCCCAAGGCTTCCATCAAGTGCTCAGCCACAAAGGGCTGCTCCTGGCATCGAGATGGACGAGAGCGGGGAGGCCCAGGGTGAATTTCCCAAAACTATGTTCTACCGACGACCGGACTAGCACAAAGTGAACAAGCACATGTGTGGGCCCACACGTTACTGCTTATTCCCGTGGATCCTCTGACAGTCCCTTCTTCCTCCGTGGTGTCCGCCGCCCCCCACCATTCCAAATCCTGCAGAGCCCTGTCCTGTAGCCCAGTGCCCACACCCAAAGAGTCAGAGAGGAGGTGAAAGGCGTGAAAGGCCGACTGAGACCTCCAGAGGAGGGAGGTGGCAGGGACTCGGGATGTCTTTGTTGGATCACGATTCGGAGAATCCTGAACAGGCAAGATCGACTTTCCAAAGTCGTAAAACCTGAGTGGAAAAACATCGTCCAGGAGTTTTGGCAACACCCGTTGAAAGCCATAAAAGACTTCGTTCCCTTTGACACAGCCATTCTACCTCCAAGAATGTATTCTAAAGAGGTGATTAAAGGTGCTGAGCAAAGATACTGATCACAGCTGTGATCATAACAGCAAAAAAAAAACGCCCAAAAACAAACACTGGAAACTGGCCAAAGGGGACAGTTAATCAAATTAAGGCCCAGCCACAGAGCGGACTCGGACTCATTTGCAGCTGTTTAAAAAAACTAAGGTAGCTCTCCATGTGTCTAGAGCAGCGGTTCTCAACCTTCCTAACGCCGTGACCCCTTAATACAGTTAGTTTGTCATGTGGTGGTGACCCCCAACCATAAAATTATTTTCGTTGCTACTCTATAACTGTAATTTTGCTACTGTTATGAATTGTAATGTAAATATCTTTTTGTTTTCCGATGGTCTTAGGTGACGTCACCCCTGTGAAAGGGTCGTTCGACCCCCAAAGGGGTCGCGACCCACAGGTTGAGAATCGCTGGTCTAGAGGTAAATATGTCCATTACTAACTAAAAAGAGGTTTAAAAACTATTGGCAGCATGATGTAGATTTTATGTGCCTGTGTGCATCAACATACATGTATGTGTGTGCACATATGTACATGTATGTATAAATACACATGCAAAGAGAGCAGCAAGGCACAGAGCACCAAGCGACATGGAAGAATATACACCAAGGTGTTCATGGTAATGGTTTCAGGAGTGAAACTGTGAGTGTATTTTCTTATTCATTGAGTTTATCTCTATTTTCTAGTTCTATGCTGAACACATACTGGTTTTATAAAATACATAAGAAAACATATTTAAGGAAACGCTTAAGTGCCAGGGAACAACTTTAGTTCATAACTCAGTGAGTTTTAAGAGATGGGACAGTCAGAGAAATGCCATCACACACACCCCCACTTCTGTATTTAGATTTTCCACTGTGGGTATCTAGGCTCGTCAGCCTCATCCCAAGACAGAAACACAGCCACGCCTCACTCATCAGGCACCACTGGGGACAAGGAAGGTCCCAGTGGAGAATTCCTCGGGTAACAGATGTCTGCCCACACAACTCCATGGGATGGCATTTTGAACTCTTTGGGATGGAATTCTTTTTCAAAGCACATTGGGCACGTCCCTGATTTATCGGAACAGAGACTCTTCGAACATAATTAAAGTTTTCTCAATGACACGCGCTCCGCATCTTAAGCGACTGTGTAAGCGAGGAAGTATGATGTCAGGGCACTGAAAACAGAATTACGTCTGAAGTCAGGAGGCCTGGGTGCTAGAGCAGCCCCACCTTGGGGTCTCAGCCAGGTGATTTCTCTGGGCCTTCGCTTTTAATCTGTAGGAGCGACGCCACTGGAAGGCATGAGCCCCAAGAACCCTTCAACTCAGCCTTGTCCCTCCCTTGCAGGCGGCCAGCCAACCAGCTCCTCTGCTTCTTTTACTTTATGTCTCCAGTTCTCTGCTTCTAATGGAGTACAGACCAAGGAACATGGCTGAGGGTTGGACTAATGCATAAATCAAGAGTTAATGAGCTCTGATACAGCTTTATAAACCTCCCACACAACATCATTATAGCAATTTAAAAATAAACATGTATGTGTACATACATACATTAGATTGAACATGAAATTGAAAAAAAAAATTGTCACATTCACATTGTGCCCTCAGCCCCCCAAGGGCCTTTCTGTCTTTCTTCCTAGTCATCTGGTTACGCTCCAGGGGGCTAAGGACAGGGAAGAGCTGACTTCTAGGGACGTGGAGGGACTCATCAACAGCTCTTCTCGGACCAACTGTAAGAGGCTATAAATGGCATCAAGACCCTGCTAGTGGCGGTGCTGGGACTAGAATGACTGAAATATTTTTCAGAGGGAAAAAAAAAAAATCCGTCAGGGATCTTCACCACCAGCTGCTGCCACCAGCTGCTGGGGCCAGCCCGCCGTAAATTTAGTCAGGCCAGCAAAGGGTTGATTTTCTGCTGGCCTGTCCGGGAAGGAAGCTTGTATCAACAAGGGCTTCTCCAAAGGGCCATGAGTCACCCCCGTTCAGAGACGCAGGCAGAGAGGGCTCTGTTTCAAAGAGGAAGACATTCTCACATTTCTAGTCTAAAAAGCCAACACCTTCAGTGCTACACACAGAACCCATGCCACAGGAAGGGCTCTGGGCCGGCACCAGAATGAATTAAATGGGACCAAAAGTAGGAATAATAATAGTAATGGGTGGGAGGAAAACTTTGGGAGGTTTAGATATGTTTATGGCCTTGATGGTGGTAACAGTTTCACAGGTATATCCTTATCCCCAAACTCATCAAGTTGTACACATTAATTGTATACATACGTACAGCTTTTTATGTCAATCATATATCAATAAAGTGGTTTTCAAAAAAAATGAGGATCGGGCCGGCCAAGTGGCGTGTTGGTTAAGAGCTGGCTTGGGACGCCAGCTCTGAGCAGCAGGGCCCTGGTTCGGATCCCACATGAGGGCCAGTGACACTGCCCTCTACAGCTAAGATGGTGAACAACAGCTCCACCTGGAGCTGGGCTGCCGTGAGTCGCCGGCGACGGCGTAGGCTGAGCCCCTGCTGCAGTGGGCTGCCATAAGCTATTGTGTGTGGCCAGCAGCCGGTGTGAGCTGCCAAGAGCCGCCGTGAGCGGCCGTCCAGAGGCCGGCGACTGATCTGCCTCGCCCGGGAAGAGCGCAATGATGGTACCAACATGGGCCAGTGAAGCAACGTCCTCCACAACTAGACTGAAGAACAAAAGGACAGCAACTTGTCTGTTCCCCTCCCTCAATTCCCCAATAAAATCTTAAACAAAAAAAAAAAAATGAGGAGCACACATTGCAGGGCTGACTAATCAAAAGCAAGGCAAGTTCAAAGTCTAAAGCAAGAACTGTGAAGGGAGGTAATAAAGGAACAAACTGCTGTAGAAAAATG